TATCAGGGATGTGAGCCACTGATATTGTCATGTCCAAGCTGTTCAGGCACTTTTAACTGCCCTGCTGTATTCAGCTCAATCTGTGCGGTAGGTGAGAAACCAGCAAAAATGCAACAAGAGGAATCCACTTGCAATTTCTGGCGAACGCTGCGCTGCCCCAAATGTCCAGAAGAAGGTGACATGGGTAGAATGTCTCCTGGAATGATAGCAAACCAGGTATTTGTTGATTTTTTTGACTTGAATGTTGCTCTAACATGACATTCATTCCCTAACATGCTCAAAGATGACATACATTGCATGCAATATATAGTCATGGTAAAAGATGTGTGCTTTGTCCTCTCTGTCAGGTTAAACGACAAGTGGAGGGGTTTATTTCAATGTACTACAAAGGCTTAATGACGGTAATAGAACTTCATATATACAACATATAAAAAACTCAAGTTTAGCAGTAATTAGACCTGATGGCATGTTTGACTTTGCTTTCAGTGTGATGATGAAACTTGCAAACATACTACTCGAAGTGTCAACCTGCTGCTGTTTGGTGATTCTGAAAAAGGAACGGTTTGTCCAAACTATCCCCGCTGTAATGGTCGTCTTGTGAGAAAGGTTTCATGACAATCCTTTAAACAATTTTTGCCCCATAACAAGCTTTTTATATTTAAGCTGACAATTGTTTTTCCTTGAAATATGTAGTACACGGAAGCAGATCTTTACAAGCAACTAGCTTATTTTTGTCATCTCTTGGATACCACACGCTGTGTAGAGAAGGTAGTTCATTTTTGGTTTACAGTGGATATTAGCTGTTGAGGTTGTGGGTTGTATTTAAGTGTTTGTTGTATGTAGATGGAGACAAGTGGGAGGATAGCAGTTGAGAAAGAGTTGGCCAAGGTTCGGCCAGTGGTTGGTTTGGCTGCAAACACAGTTCAAAGAATTCGAGACCGGTGTTCCTTTGGTTGGGTGCAGATGAATGACCTCATCGTCACATTTTGAATTTTTATAATGTATGTATTTGACTTACGATGTCATGACATGCTTTCTCTGCTCAAGGCTTAGATGTAAAACCTCAAAACTTATGTAAAACGGAGGCACAACTAAAACGTCAACAAGATAAACAGAATTTGCAATGCAGAGAAAAAGAAATGATTTATTTCAGTAAGCAATGATTTATTTCAGTGTGTATTGTGAAAAATATATTTAAAGACAATGATTTAATGCATTAAAAGGTTAACTGGGGTTGCTTTCAGTTTGGGGTAAATTGGTTGATTCAGGTCAGTGTCGGTTCATTTTGTTTTGGGTTTCGGATCATATTTGCTCAAGCCTTCAGATAAAGTTCTTCATGTGCAGCTTTAATCTCCAAATATGATCAGGCCCCATTTGCTCTAGCCGTTCGATACAATGGTCCCTGATGTCCTTAAGAAACTTGTTTCAGACAATGGGAAAATATTACACAAGTTGCTGACGAGCCTGTCTATTTTCAACAGCATGTTACTAAAAAAAGTGAACAGGGAATAGTGTTTTCAACAGAGACTAAAGACACTGCTTTCTAGCAAAAAAAAAAAAAAAAAAAAGTAGCAGCTGCACAATTAATGTTTAGATACTGATTAATTTGAAGATGGATATTCTGAGCTTTAGGCCTCTATATGTTGGTGTCGTGTATACCGCTATCGGTTAGTTGCAGAGTACAATAGAACAATCCAAGTTTATGTAAATTGAAATCAAAATGAACCAGCGGTTTTAAGAGTTCCATATAATCTGTAAAACCGTTTTTTGCATGGTATAGACATCTAGCTTTTAAAATTCAAACAAAATGAAAGAGGAAATATGTCTTATAATGAAGAAATTTTGGTGCTCAAACCACCAGGTCAAAGCTTGATGCGTCGTTGTTTATTGATCTCAACAAGCTTGAAAACACAGCCTAAAGCTGCTTGAGCATTGCAAGTGACCAAATAGGTTCCTATTCCATAAAGGTTTGATCCCTCACGAGCAAGGATTTAAATAGCGGTTGCGATCATATTTTTAGAGTCGATGTGCACATGAGTGAATCGAGGAGGCGTTGCCATCCTGATAGGGAGTCAAATAAACTATTCAAATAAAATTTAGTTTCATTATCTGCTTGTTTAGTGCGTCCAGAGTTTCCTCATTCAAATCATTACTAGTAAGTAATGCTCGTCTTTCCAAAACCAGGCAGCCCAAATTCCTTCTCAATTATATGCAAGTTGGGATCAAGTCCCACTAAAAGCAAAATTTTTCACTAGTGTGTTTAAAATGAACCAATTAAAATATGGTACTAGTCATCGGCTGTAAATAATTTAATATAAAATTAATTTATAATTATATTACTTTTTTTTGATGTATTTAAAAACATCATCACTTTTTTTGATGTAGACATACCATGTCAACATCTCTCTCTACATGTATTTGTTATCTCCATATTAAGCGTATGTTAACGGTTTTAATCCACGGAGAGATTTTTATATCCCAAAATGAAACATTGAAAGTTAAAGCACTAAAAATGTAGAGGTCAAAATAATCATTTAGTGAAACGCTAAAAAATGTTTTTTGACATTATGTTTTTTTTTTCTCCCCTTCATTGTATTATCTTGTAATACAGAAATTCTTAAATCATTGTTGGTTTGAATGTTTATTTAATAATCTTGAAGAAACAGAGAAACAAGATTATTACCACTCCAGAATCTAGATACCAAGCATCGTTTGCATGACTGATGACTTCAATAAAAGCATTTGATGGAGCAGCAGAAGGATTTGCCATCACTGGTGCAGAGAATTATTTCCAAAACTTTGATTAATTGGTGTAAAACCAATTGTTTATTGTCGGACTATTAACATTACCAGTGTCGAAACCATATATACCATCAAAGCATTGCGTCCTCTACGACCATTATAAAACGATGTTTGTGGTTGTTAATAAGATTGAAGAAGATTGCTGGAGAATCGAAAAAGGCCTTTTAACCGACAATGCAATTGCATTATTCTTCTAGTGGAAGACATATTCTGATGAAAGACCCAACAAAATTGTTAATATTGCCTAGTCTCGATTAAATGATTTCTACAAGTAGCGAGGTGATCACAAATTACCTGTATTTGCGTTCATCCATACATGGAGCTCCTCTATCACATTTTTTTATAGTAATGCTTTATAATTCTGCTGGTAGGCTGCTTCACTTTGCCAGAGGCAATGCTTTTTTGCTGGACGCGTCCCTCGGGCGGGGGAGGGTTCGAATACACTTTTGTTCCTTCTTTTATGGTAACACTAACATCATTATTTTCAGTTCCTGGGAAGATGACAGATTAGTCATATGATGTTTTGGTAATTCGATAAGCAGTTTGTGTTTAGTTTCTACAGCTACCAATGTGGTGCACTGCCGATTGCTACTGGATCCTATTTGAACACTACTTAATAGTTTGGATAATGGTCTATGGTCAATGATTGTCATTTTCACCTCCTGCTCATTAGTCTTTGAAGTAGAATGGAGACTGCTACGCAGTACATTCAAGGTTGTTTTTGTGATAAGTTGATTTTTATAAAGAATTGTTTTGCTTCTTCTACAACAGACACATGGAACTGGCAAAGCAGCTTTAATCTTCAACTGCTGTAGGTGCGTCTGATAGCAACTACGGTTCGATCATGGATGGTCCCTTTGTCAAGGAAGGAATAATGAGTCTGGTTGGAAGTTGTTAGTAGCAGCTTTGAGCTCGGCTACTGAAAATTGACAACACAAAGGATACTTCATTGGATTATATTTAAACAATATGCTTCAGACAAGATATATTTTATAAGATTATGCACTGTGAATTGAATGCCGCTGATTTTTCACTATGAATTGAAATTTCTAAGTCATCCAAAAATTAGCGCAAATGTCTTATGGTTGGTCTCCTCATTATAAGTTTTGAGTAAACTACACTACTTACCATTGAATTTTAAGTGATTTGTCACTCCATTTTTAATTTCTTTAATTATAATATTAAACTTTAATTTTAATTTCAATTATGTCACTGAACTTTTAAAATCCAAACAATGTGATGATGTAGACAAAACTACATCATTTTTGTGTAGCTATTGATGACCAAAATGATTTTATTTTAAGTATCGAATTTTAAAGATGTATCTGTTTGTTACAAAACTTTTAAACAATTCACTTTTTGGCATTATACTTTTTTTTATCGTCGCCAATAACCAGTCATTGGTTGCCTTTCACGATAAGATTAATACTAAAATGTTCATATTTCACTCATTCTACGAAACCCACTCAAAATATATGAAATTAAACAAAGGGTGTTCACTTGATGGTTTTAACCAAATTAATAGACTGACTGAATTAGTTTATTAGTTTGGTTAAACGGTCAAGAACCCAAATTAGTTTGATTGCAAAACAGTTTTTTTTTGTCAATATTCGGTTAACGGTTATTTCGGTTCGAAATTAATTAATTAACCAAAAATATTCAATATATTAACTACATATTTTAAGCTCAAATCCATTAATAATTAAGACTCAACTATTTTTTAATCACACTCGACCCATTAAAATGTGAAGAACTAATTAAATTTTAGCCCAAACAAAAAAATAGTTTCTATTAAACTCAAATTAACTAACTAAAAAAGTTTTAACCAAACTTCAAAAAAAAATAAAATCAAATGACTTAATTTAAAAAATAATAATTTTTAAAATAGAATCTAGTTTTACTCCCCTTCAAAGACTATAAAAGTTAAAATGAAGCTGCCACAGAAACCAATGTTTATAAATAGTGACTATGAAATAATATACATCTTGTGAAGAAATGACTTCTTATGATGATATATTATTGAAGCGTGAAATACCCGATTTGGTTCAAGAAAGCAACAACTGTGAATAACAATCAGTTGGAGATTTTCATGTAAATTACAGATGATTGAACAAGAAAATCATCAGGAAATTGAAAGTTAACTGCTAAATTTACCCAATAAATTAAAGAAAAGTTTTAATTCAATTATCCCAAACATCAGAGGCTAATGTTGCAGTTCTACTCATCCACTGCTGGATGTACCTATGGAGGTTTTGTTAGAATTACAAAACCTGACAGTAATTGTTGCTATGTAAATCCGAAAAAGTTAACATAGTTTAACCACAAATTTCACACTGCCTTGAGTTAATCACTGGTTTCACTTCTTCCACCCTGCATGCTGTTCAAATATACATTCAAGGATGGAATTAAATAACGGAACCATATCGGATATCGGCAGAACTTAATGAGGAAAGTGGATTTACCTGGTCAGGTGTGGAGAAAGTATAAGGTCATGGTCCATATTCTTTAACAGCACACTATTAGATTCGTCTCTTGTCATCATGCTAGCATCAAGAGAATCGCTTTCCTTTAAATCCGATTCTTGTGTATCGAAGGGAAGCGAAACTGCAGTTGTTGTAGCAGCTAAACCAAATTCTGTTTACCACAAACAAGTTATGCTATTTCAACTTAGTTGATGAATGTGAGCATTTTGTGCCTACCTGATGTGTTGGTCTTCAGTTGTTGATGATGATGCACAAGGTCTTCCCTGCAAATATCCTACACAATCCCTTTAAAATAAGATGACAGGTAAGGATCATTCCCCTAAATTTTTCATGCTTTTTTGCGCATTTGACTTACCTGAGACGACGAGAGGAGCTGAAATGGCCCTAACTGAGCCTGGATCGATTCCAACTCGAATGAAGTTTCAGAAGTAATCATGTTTGGTACTGATGCAGGGTTTGAAGAATTGCATAGGTTGGGTAGATCGAAAACCATCTGCACCGAGGTTTCTTGATTCCCCGGTACCGTCCCCGACACATTCATGGAAAGAGACCCACTTTCTTCACCCAAGTTCATTCTTGTTTGGGAAAACTGGAGCGGTTGCAAAACTCCAGGCAAACACATAGGATGCAAGCTTAATCCATTTCTCATGGATAGCATCTGATAAATGACAACATGTATAAATCAGAAACCAAACTTGTTGTGAACTAAGCTAGAGCTGCAGATTGGCATATATACCTGAACTTGAAGCTGGAGCTGCTTCAAGTACTCGATAGCTTCATCTAGCATCGAAGCCTTGTCCGTCTGCCATGTATGGAAGATTCAATCCCTAAATATATGATCCAAGTGCAACAATATTTGTAAAAGAAAAATACCTTGTTAGAATTTGGAATCAGGTTTTGCAATGCTTTCATTTTCTCATTAATCCTACTTCTCCTCCTCTGCCTCAAACTCCATAAATCAGAAATCCATGAACAAAAATCAAACAAATGGTTCCCCATTATTACATAGATTTGAAACAAAATAAACCTTTTCAGACAAATTGTGAACCTCCGCAGCTCTGCTTCTTTTCGAGGAACTACGAGATGGAGCAGGCTTTGGCGATGCCTCATCCACCAATGCTTCAAGACCCTCCTGCTTTTGACAATTTTCAAGCTAAATAATGAGAAAAACCCAGTCTTTGCTTGATTTGAATTGTTAAAAGAAACTGTTTTAACATTCAAAAATGGAATCTTGGAATAATCCGTACTCTTTGCCTAATGTAATCAAATTTAGTACATGCAAATCGGCTCACTTTAAGCTAGAATCTTAACCATCTTAACAAAATGGCTCAAATTTCATCCCTTTCCCTCGTCATTTTCTCACCAACAAAATATAGATAACAAGAAAAAGTAGAAGAACAAGAAGAAGAAGAAAAAGACTTACAAGACCAGACACTTACCTCACTTTCACAGTCGTACTCATCGGTATCATGGTTACCATGAGCTCCAACCAAAACCCAATCTCCACCAGCCGGCGGTGCTGATGACGGTGAAAACCGCCGTGGATTATCTGCTGGACCCCCAAAGTGGGTCATCACAGAGGAAGACGAGGAAGAAGAAGAATGAAGTAGAAACTGATGAAGAAGATTGGATATATCATCTGAAGAAGAAGATAAGCACGTCCCATTGATGTAATTATAGTAATTATCATTGTTATTCTTATAATGAAACATGTTAAGGTTAATTTTATCCCCCATTTCTAGTCTTTCTTTTTTCAGTTTAAAATGATTTTTCTCTTCTCCTCATTCATCTGATTCGATTACTTCTTTTTATGCTTTGGCTTTTGGTTTGTACAACGTAAAAGCTTGCATAAACTGGGAGAGGTATATACAATGTGGGCTATTTTGTAAAAGAGAAAAAGTGTGGGATGTAATTAAATATAACCTAAAAAATTAAAATGTTACTATATTTTGTTAGATGGAATATGTTAAAAAATTAAAATTATTTGCAATTATATTTATGTTTAATTATTAAGATAATAATTATATTTTTATATCATTATATTATAATATTTTTTTATTAATATGGGTAAATATAAGATAATATATGTTTAAAGATAACTCTTAACTATTTGCCATTTAACACTTACACCTATAATATCATGGTGCTCGAATCCGAAACCTCAAGAAAAAATAACAATTCATTTACAATTTAAAAATCTTAATATAGTATAGATAATAATTATATTTAATAAAGATATTTTTAATAGATTAAAGTGATTATAAGATTGTATCTATTTATATTTTTTCTTAATCATCGATAATTCATATATTCTATAAATAAAAATATATTATTCAAATAATATAAAAAATAATAATTTTTTAAACTTTACAATTTAAAAATCTTAATATAGTATAGATAATAATTATATTTAATAAAGATATTTTTAATAGATTAAAGTGATTATAAGATTGTATCTATTTATATTTTTTCTTAATCATCGATAATTCATATATTCTATAAATAAAAATATATTATTCAAATAATATAAAAAATAATAATTTTTTAAACTATATGAAGTATAATACAAGATGACAAGCATGAATAGTGGTTTTTTAACGGCGAATGATTGGGCGGTCAAACTACAAAAGTGATCCACCAAAGTGAGACAAAGGAAATTTTAAAACAGTGTCAGGTAAACTCGCACTAGCTGTCATGAGATCACGTGCGGCGACATTAAGTCATGGATTTATGTTTTAAATACTTATTGACCAAATAATTAATCCTCCTATTATCATTTTTCAGATTTTTTCTTATTTTTTATGGTTAGACAGATATTTTTTAATAGTTTATAATGATTATAAACTATTATTTTTTTGTTCTTTTTAGTTATTAATAATACACATCTTATAAAAATAATTATTTAAATTTAGGGGTTTTAAAATAAATAATATTCATTTTATCATTAAAATCACCAAATGAGTTCTAATATGTGTTGGTCTTTAATAGCAAAGATAGCCAGATTTTGTATTAATTTAGATTGAAAGATGATACAAGTGTAGTCCCAAATGATGGACATTTATTTCGTTTCTCCTTATTGAGGCACTGCTTTTGTTATCTCATGTCTTGTGTCATTATAATGTTGGATCATATTAATAGAAAATGATCACGTGCGTTAGTTTTAATATACAATTAAAAAAAGTTGTTATCGGTTTTGTTATTATTTAAATCATAAAATTGATAAAAAATTACCAAAAACGTTATTATTTCTACTATTTTTTATTTTTTTTTCTACAATTTTTTTTATTGTTGAACTCTTTACCAAAAATGATAAAAAAACATTAATGTTTTAAGTAGAAATAATAATATTTTAGGTAATATTTTTACCGATTTTATCGCAATATATAACTTCCCCTATTAATACAGTGCTACTTTTTGTAAGAAAATAATTATATTTGATTTTAAAATGTTTGAGCAACACAATATGTGATTCTAGTTTGGTTAATTTGTATATCTCCGAATGTTAGGTGGTTTGGTGAAATGCTGTTGGCAGGGTTTTGGTTGCAGCATCTGATTCATTGGAATTCGGTAGGGTTGAGTGGTCACAAGCTTTGCAGGCTTTTACAGAGCTTAATCGGCTAATCCCAATGTGCTCCTCCATAGTCACTGACACAAACTTGGGACATGAACACCAAAATCATGGATTAAACCAACCAAAGCTGTCTTTCATTATATCTATATCTTCACTGTTTGTTGGCATAAGTTTCACCAGTTCGACAAAGAGGGTCTCCATTTCCAATTCCTGATGTCTTGCACAAGTTGGAAAGCTGGTTAGGCTTTGCCATTTGGTTGCTAACCTGCCTGGTCCTGTCAAATTTATCAATTATTATTTGCAGCAGAGTTGGTGTTAACCAAGTACTTTGTTGGCTGAAAAAGGAGCTGTCAAAAGCTTTACTTGAAACAATGTCCGTGGAGATGGGCTTTGGGTAAAGTGTTTACAACGACTACATGTATGTAATACTTTTTATCACATAGAATTTGGTTGAATCTTAAAGGTGGATTATTAATAAGAAATTGAATGCTTGAAAGCACTCTCACAATACGTCTCTATCATTGTCTAGTCCGACCAAACGTCACCTTAGACCACAACAACGCTGTTTGAATATAAATATTTTTCAATATCTTCAATCAGCCTTCTTTTTCCTTGTCCACTTGCGTGTCGCGACGTTATTCGCCCTATAGATCCCGTATCCAACCCTCGTGAGTCTACCCTACATGCGGGACAACCCGAGTTTATAGATCTCTATCATCAAACGTCACACACATACATTAAATCATTAATCCTTGTTTATCCATTTTATACTTAATCTATCTCTCTGGTTAACATCAACGGTAGATACTTATTTTTTTAATGAAAAAATAAATACATAATTCGTTATTTTATATTTCGTAAAAATAAAAAACTGAAATTAACTCCTTATTTATATATATGTTCCGTTTAATCAAATTTTTATAAAATATATACGTTTAAGTTTAAGATAAATTACATAATTTATTATCGATATGTTGTTTCTTTTCTATTTTAATTATATTTTTATTGTTAAATATTTATCCACGATGTTGCTGAGACTCTTTTTTTTTACTTTCCATAATATTTTCTAAGATCCATGTCAGCGCACACATGGAAAATAAAAAATCATTGGACCTGAATTTTTGAAAATTTTTAGTTAAATTTAAAAAGTAAAAAACTGATCACTAATATTTGATTAAGTTATTTCTCTACTATGTTTAAAAAAGTAAGCTTTGATCATTGATACTATCAGATGACAAACCATTAACCTTGGATCGAATTCGACCCAAATTCAGTAGGACCCACCACCATCCTCACCCGTTGACCTTTTATCAACTCGATTCATTAACTTTGATTGACTCAACCTATTGACTTTGATCGATCTAAAGATTATGATTATATGAGCTCTCGTTGGTGTGACCTCCGAGATTCGACTTTAAGTTCAAATTAAGAAGTTACATTTAAAATTATTTAAATATATATTCAAATAAATATATTTATTAAATAAATTTTTCCATAACTAGTATATAAAATAATGAGAAAAAAAATTAATCGTTTCTTTTCCAAAAGAAATGTCAAGAGTTGAGACTTAAACTTGTAGGCCCAATTTATATATTGGTGCTTCGCATTGTGCAAGTTCATTGTTAGGTTTGGGTTTTATCTTTCAAATACTCTAAGATCCCAGCCCAAACCTACCAAATTCTAGTCCATTTATCGTACCACAATTAGGTACACATTTTCAGGCAGTTTTGTAATGTAATATTCTATTAGCCATCGATGGTTTTTGGATGATAGAATTCAATGCGGTCAGCTTCAACTTCAGCTAGACTAAGTGCAATCCCTTCGCCCTTGCATCTGCCTGCTTTCAACCATTCTATTTGCGGTCTTTGGAAAATCCAAACCAATAGTACCCACACGCAGCAGAGTCCACTGCTCTCAGTCTCAGTATCAGGCAATGGAAACCAACGATTCCACCTCCAAAGCTAAGGCCCTAAGCTTTGATGATTTCCTCAGCAAGAAGCCCTACTCTCCTCCTTCTTGGGCATCCCATCTCAAACCCGTCTAAATTACCTCACAATGTCCACCGTTGATCGACCTTCCTCGAACTACAGAGCTACTAATTAAATCCAAAGGATTCCTTTCCATGCCTTCTCTCTCGCTCATGTAAGCACCTGCATGTTTTCTTTTGTTTTGCAAAACACCCAAATCTTATTTATATTTTTCATCTCCCTACTCCGATTCATAAGTGGAATCTGCCTAATTTGCCCCAAAACACAGAGGTTTTGCTGAAGGTAAATTTTTCTTTTTTCTTTTTCCTTTTTCCTTTTTCCTTTTTGATTTGAAATTTGTTTTTTGTTTAGTACTGACGGTTTTAGATCATGCAGCGTGGCGACCTTTTAGGCATGCAATTGAGCGGTAACAAAGTCAGGAAGTTGGAGTTCTTATTGGCGGAAGCAGTGACACAGGGTGCTGATTGCATCATTACAATAGGTGGCATCCAAAGCAACCACTGCCGTTGCCGCTAAGTATTTAAATCTCGACTCTTATCTTATACTCCGTACCTCCAAGGTTCTACTCTTACCTTCCTTGTATATTTTATGTATTTGTTTTATTTGTTATCATATATTCTGTTGTTTAACCAGTTGGCTGTTGCAGCTTCTTGTTGGTAAGGATCCTGGATTGACAGGCAATCTGCTGGTGGAGCGTTTTGTGGGCGCTCATATTCATCTTATTTCAAAAGAAGAATATGCAAAAATAGTGAGTGTTGTTAGTTTCTGACTTTCTCATGATATGATTCAGGCCCTCCAATGCGTCTATTATGATATGAGACTCTTTCCTGGTTTTAATTTAATGTTAGATATATTTTGATTTTGGCTTCGCTTTTATCAGACGGCTCAAGTAATAGTTTGTTGGCGATTTCTTGAGTATTATTTTGAGTTACATGCTACCAATGATCCTGCTTCTAGATTATAGGGTCCATTGGCTACGTGATTGAGTTGATAATTCTTATATGCTAATGCATTATGCTGTCTTCTAATTCAATGTATATGAAATTTTACTTGTCAGGCCCTTACTAATGTTTTGAAAGAACAATTGATAAAGGAAGGCAGAAGGCCTTATGTGATTCCTGTTGGCGGATCAAACTCCTTGGGAACTTGGTGAGCATCCGTCATAGTTTATACTCCTTTTCTGTTGCATGTCTTTTGCACTTGAATTATTTTACTTGGAAGCTACACAAAATCATTATCTGTTCTCTTACAAACTATTTTTTCTTTAGCCC